AAAACAAATAGTTAGTTGTGAAACGAGAGGAACGTTGCTTGTCTGCCTTCACCTTCAGAAAGTACACAAAAGACACATAACATCTCTGTAGGTAAAGCGACCATTCATTCGAATCCACGTACCGGCTCTCCATGCGGCTTGTTCGAAAAGCACCCGTATAGAGGTGAATACCTAGATGGTGGACAGGGTCAAGAATCTTTATGGACAGGGTCGAGAATCTTTAAGGCAGATGGTGTCGCAGACTGATAGATTATAGCACCGTAATCTAGGCGTGTGGGTACAAGGGTTTTATATAAATTAATAAGACGTTTCCTGTCACGACCCCATGTAGTGCGGGCAACACTTTCAAAATATTAATTGTTTTTAAGCACCTGTCTTTTAAATACTTGATGTGTGGGATGAAGCTTATTTTTGTGTCTAATATTAGTCCAAGAAACTTGTGCTCGGTCTTCACTGACAAAAGTTGACCATCCAGGTCAATGTCAGGGTCAGAATTGAGGCCCCTCTTTTGGCAGAACAAGGTGCAAGTGCTCTTTTGCACGTTGAGTGTAAAACCATTCTTATGTGCCCATTGAGATACCTTGTTCAACCCTAGTTCAACCTGATGTTGGCACATTGCGATGTTGCACGATTTGAGACCAATCTGTACGTCATCGACATATAAAAAAAAACATTACGTGGGAGAGAGGTGCAAGGAATTCATTTTAACTACGAAAACTGTGCAACTCAATACACCTCCTTGTAATACTCCTGTTTCTTGGACAAATACTCGAGATAAGACAGTGCCAACTCGGACACGGAATGTCCGGTTTGACAGGCAGCTTTCGATGACTGTCAGCATTCTGCCCTGCATTCCTAAATGCGACAGGTCTCACAATATGCCAAAGCGCCATGTAGTGTCATATGCCTTTTCCATATCGAGGAACACAGAAAGAAAAAATTGCTGATGGAGAAAAGCGTCGCAAATTGTGTCTCAATACGAACAAGGTGGTCAGTGGTGGACCGAGCCTCTCGAAACCAACACTGGTATGGGTCAAGTAAGCCATTAGTTTCAAGGAAGTGCATCAGGCACCTGTTTATCATTTTCTCAAGAACAAGAACCTTGCAAAGACAGCTGGTTAAGGCTATTGGCTTGTAGCTGGAAACTGAGGATGAGTCCTTGCCTTGTTTTAGAATCGGCATAGCGATAGCTTCCTTCCAGGCTGAAAGTAGCTCGCCGGAAAACCATATTGCATTATACAGGGAGAGGAGAGCTTGTTTTGGGTTTCAGTGGGAAGATGTTTCAACATTTCATATGCCACATGGTCCGGGCCTGGCGTAGATTTATTCCTGCAGGCAAGTGAGGCTTGTAGTTCAGCCAAACAGAAAAGTTCATTGTATGGCTCGTGTGTTGTGGGTTTGCGCACTAATCTCTGTTTTTATATTCTGGTTTTGTATGGTCGGAACGCTTCACTATAGTGTGACGAGCTGGAGACCTGTTCGAAATGCCCTCTGAGAGTGTTAGCCTAGTCTTCCAAACTCTTCTCTTGTGTGTTCAATAAAGGAAGTGAATGTGCTTTTTGTCCAGCTGCCTTACTTACTATGTTCCAAACTTTTGCCTCATTTGTGTATGAACTAATGCCTGATAAGAATTTATGCCAACTTCCTCTTCTCGCCTGTTGCAGCGTCCTCCTTCCTTACGACTTGATGTTTTAAAGTTTATAAGATTCTCGGCTGTAGGCGAGCCTCTAAATAACTTCCATGCCTAATTTCGTTTTTCGCACGCATTACGGCACTCATTATTCCACCATGGGAGTCCTTGTTTGCCTGGCGGTCCACATGTTTGTGGTATACATTTCGTTGCAACATCAATCAAGAAAGCTGTCGAGTAGGTCACAGCAGCTTCTATGCTTAACACCCCCATGTCAGTCCAAGTTAGGAGAGTCATTTTATGAAACTGTTCCCAATCGGCTTTATCGGTAAGCCATTTGGGAATTTGTGGAGGGCATATATTTGATATTGATTTTCTGAGAACTATAGAAAAATGGTCACTACCGTATGGATTATTGATGACATTTAAATAGAGTTAGGAGTGATGGAGATGTTATGCTGAGGTCTATGGCTGAGTACGTATTGTTAGCTATGTTGTAATATGTTGGCTTTTTCCGATTCAGAAGGCATGCACCAGAAGAAAAAAGGAACAGTTCGATCAGGTGACCTCACGCATCGCAGCGAGTGTCGCCCCATAAACTATTATGTGCAATAAAGTCCCCTAGGGCAACATAGCGTTCTATGAATAGAACATAGCGATCTATGAATGATTGGAATTCCTGCTTATTGAGTAGGTGATGCGGGGGTATGTAAATAGAGCAAATTGTGACCAGTTCGTTGAAGAGGACAGCCTGGACGGCCACCGCCTCATGGGGTGTCTGAAGCCGCAAATGTGCACAGGCAGTTCCTTGATCAACTATAATGACAACTTTACTAGATGACGTGACAGCATCATCTTAGTCCTTCCGAAAAGTAGTGTAACAGGGTAGAAAGCTGGTGAGCTTGGATTTTAGGTGTGTTTCTTTTACACACAGCACTTTTGGTGTATGTGTAAAAGTTCTTGAATATTGTCGAGGTTCCTCAGCCGTCCTCTGACATTCCATTGTAGTATTTGTGTCATTTTACTGTTGCGTGGCATTGCGTGTACAAAAGTGTTGACTTAGATTGCAGGGCCTTTTGGGGGACCTGTAATTCTGGGTTTTCTTTTTATGGTGCGCTCCAAAGAGCTGTGCCTATCCTTCGGCGCTTGAGGCGCCGGAGGAGGGGGACTTGTATCCATCACCTCTTGCGAGGTGGCGAATGGTGCCTAATGAGCAGACACGTTCACAGAAGTCTCGGACCTAACTGCGGGTGCAGTGGTCCGGGGTCCAGCAGACTTCTGTTTAGCAGGAGGCGAAGCAGCACAGGCTACTCCAGCCTTGGGCACAGACGGCGCGACCACTGTCACGCTTTGTGTGACACTCACGGGTGCGGAAAAATATGATACGGTGCCCTGGCGCGTCACATCTGCAAAGGAAGGAGAGTGCTTGTTATGGAGAGAGAAGCGCTGGCGGGCCTCTTGAAAAGACAGATTGAATTTAACTTTAAGTTGAACAATTTGTTTTATTTTTTCCAAGATGGGCACGATCGCGAATAGGCGGGATGGTCTCCTCCACAGTTCGCATAGCGGGCTGCAGCGGTACAATTGTTCGATGGGTGTTCGTTGGAGCTACAGTTTGCGCAAGTAGCACGCCCTCTGCAGCTTTGGGACCCGTGTCCAAACTGCTGACATTTGAAACACCTTCAAGGATTTGGTATGTTGGGCCCGACACAAAGCTTGCAGTAGCCGGTCTCAATTGAATCGGGTAAGTCACTGGTACCAAAGGTGACAATTACATGTTTTGTTTGTGTTTCTTTTTGTTTGGTCGTGTCACTATTCTTTGGACCTTCACAACATTCTGGTCTTGCCAGCCTTCCAATAGTTCACACTCTGATAATCCAAGAAGGTCATCATCAGAAATAACACCGCGAACTGTGTTCAAGGATCTGTGGGGGCCTATGGAAACTGGGACATCCCTAAACGTTACTAGTTTAGACTGTTTGTCATATTGAAGCTTGTCGCGAACCTCCAAAAGGAGGGTGCCGCTTCCCAACTTGGTTACACGATACCCCAGGCCGATTACTTTAGTGAGTTGATTGATATGTGGGGTTTATTGTCGCGAAACCACCATATGATTATGAGAGACGCCGTAGTGGAGAGCTCCAGAAATTTCGACAACCTGGAGTTCTTTGACGTGCACCCAAATCTGAGCACAAGGGCATAACATTTCCGCCTCCATCGGAAATGCAGCCGTCGCAGCCGGGATTCGATCCTGCGACCTGCGGGTCAGCAGCCGAGTACCTTAGCCACTAGACCACCGCGGCGAGCTACTTCAGTGAGTGTTTTTGAGACAAGAAAAGGTGAGATTGCTCGGACTGCTTTGTTTTCTTTCTGACTATGCACGACATGAAACTTGGGGAAAGACTGCTTTGGTTTTGAAAAAAGGAACGGTTCTTCAGTGCGCCACCTTTTCGGGCAGCGATCAGGGAGGGGGGGGGGGGGGGGAATTTGGCCATACAGATTGTGTAAAGTTCGGCGGCGATATTGGTCACTCACCATTGAGCCCAACAAGGGACGCTACGAGGTTTAATAGTAAACACTTGGAGACGGCAGCCACGCATCGCCGCTATAACCGAATATAACTACCCAAAGTTAACCCTTCCCGTCAAGAAATTTGGAAGTAAACGGAAAAGAGAATATGACAGCACAGATAAAAAGTGAGAGATAAAGACGAAGATGTAGAGAGAGAGATAGATAGGAAAAGGCGACTGCCGATTTCTTTTGGGTGGGTCAGCCCAGGGGTGCAATCTACATGAAGCTGGGGCCAAAGGGTTGTGTTGCCTCTGCCGGGGTGCCATGAAGGTCCAAATCACCCAGCGTCGACTCAACCCCCAGGATTCCCTTTTCCCCAAACACAGGAAAGCCACGCAGGACAAGGCGTGGGAGGGAGTTGAAGCCCCCCCTGTTGGCTCGGTTCTGTGGTGTTGCCAATCCATTTGGTGGGAAAAAAAAAAAACACACTGAAGCTAGCGCTGCTGCTATTAGCCACGAGCAGGGTGTTCGGTGAAATTAACGTAGTGCCTCCCGTTACTTGAATTATTCGCGAGACTTGCTGCAACGCTGTCCACGGCTTCGCGCAAACACTGCAGGATGTGCTTGAGACGCCACTTATGCACGCGACGGCGAACCTGTCACCGCCGGCCACCACACATGGCCGTAACCATGGCAGCATCAGCAGTAACTATGGTAACCTTCAGGTGAAGGTGACAGAGTGAAGGTGAAGGTGACCTTCAGAGTGAAGGTGATGCCCTAAAGAGCCTAGAGCAACGACATCAGTTAGAGTTTGCTTGGAGCTAGCATGTCACAGAATGAAACGGAAAAGAGAAGTTACCGAGATTGTGTAGTCAATCTGGGGTGCCATCTCTGCATTGGTTCCACCCCGAAGGCGTAACACAGATGGTGCGTCGGCAAACAGCAGGCACGGCAGGGCAGCTTGAAGGAGCAGCACAACACTCCTAAAAATTCAAACACCAACACACATTTCTTAAATTTCAGCCAAATTCACTTCCCCTATTGCAAAATACATAAATGCAACGTATATGAACTGTCAACTTATGAACACATCCCCTGCAGGTGTGAATTATGATGCAAGGTGCACAAATGCATAAAATTCCCATAACATAATTCCAAGGCACTGAATATTATATTCCATGAAATAAATTGAAGGAATGTGTTATGTGTGAGTTTCAATGATTACTGTTAATTGACAAGTAATTAAGTATTTAATCATTCTGTAAACAGCAGGCACAGCCCGGTAGCCTGAAGGAGCAATGCCAATTTTTTAAAAATAGACAACTCAAATTTCTTTCAATTTGAGCCCAATTTACATCCCCCAATGCAAAATAAGCCAACAGTAGATATGTGTATACACTCAAACCTTTTATAATGAAGTTGAATTATAAGTCATAACAGATATATAATCCTAACACTGTATATAGTGCTAAAATATCCCTCATTTACTTCATTATAGCCAATAGTATTTTGTTATATGTGTTCGTTACATCAAGGTTTAGAGTGTATCACCTTCACATATAAATTGTGATGTACGGTGCATTAAATTCACAAAGTGTAATTCCAAAGCATTCAATATTACATTCAAAGAAAGAAAATGAAAGAATGTGTTGTTACGTGTGTTTCAGTACTCATGTTCATTAGCATGTATTAAATGATTATTCTATAATCAGTCTTGCTTTTGTGTAAAAAAAAAATCAGATATTAAGCCGTAAATGCATGCGCAGTTTGTTTTTTGGTTGTATTCATTTAGAGCAATAGAAGAAAAATACTCCCAATGTTTATTCTTGAGCGGTCGGTCAATCTTCAAATATGGTAGTGTATCCAGCTAAAGGATCCTCTGCACAATGTGTATCAGCTAAAGGATCCTCTGCACAATGAAGTTAACTCTTTCGTTACCACACCTATTCAAATCGATCACTGGTGATCCAAGCCTTAAACTGCCGTCTTCTATGCATTAGAGGGGTCTCTCGTACACATAACTCCTCATATAGTTAGTTCAAGCATTGCTCTTTCCAAATCTGCAAAAAATTTTTTACTGTGGCAAAACCGCGATTTTCGGCAATTTTTTTGTCGACTAAAGTGTGTTGTTTCAAAACAGGACGTGCTTGTCAAGAGTAAGAAAAAAACATTCCTCTGAAGTATATGTTTCATGAACTTCAACTTTCAGTGTTCATATAATTTTCATAAAGTGAACTATGACATTCTGTAGTCATTTATTCAATTTCATCATGTTTAGTGGTTATAATCACCAGAAAAAGAGAGCCACCATCGACCAATCTGCACTAACTTGGAGTTCGAGAGTTGTTTTTTTTTTTCACAAAAATTTATTTATGACGGTCCGTAGCATGCCTAACTTGGCCGACGCTCCGTTCACTGCTATCTGTGCAAGACTGCTGCTATAATCAGACTTTCTGTTTACCGGGCCCAGGTTCGCCCAAATAAACAGTTGAATCCCAACATAAAGTCTCCTGTCTTCGGCCACATCACGACCCCATGACAATATTGTGTAAGGTTGTTCAGCGTGTGTTTGATCCCAACTGATGTTATAATAATTCGGCTGGTGATATCGTCCTTCTAAAAATAGTTGAATATGTGTTTTGGTTCGTTCCGACCGCGCCTACTATGTCCGTTCACTCCAAGAGCGCATCTATTTTTGTGGGGTCTCGCTACAGCGAGACCCCACAAAAATAGATGCGCTTTCACATACTATTCAATTAGCTGACGTTTTAACGGGAGCCCCGTCTTTTTCAAGACATAATAATATTTACACATTTTTCGTGTGTTTTTAAGCTTGTTGAGACAGGAGGGAAGGGGACAAAAAATAAAGATGAACAAAAAAGAAAAAGGGGGATAAAAGTAAAAAGATGGGAAAAATGAAAGAATGAAGAAAAAATAAAAGTAGAAGAAAGAAAAAAAAAACGGCGAGTGCGCTATGCCAGGTGTCTCCTTTTGTACTTCAAAATTATTCGCGCAACTCAGTCAAGGCGAATTACCAACTCGCCCAGCAGTCCGTGCTTCTCGAGGTTAGGAAGAGATGGCATCTCAAGAGAGTAAAGCGAACGTTAACATTGTAGTAGTAAACGAGCCATGCCATCATTGACAACAAAATCCCCCATGCACCAAACCTTCCCCAAGTGGACAGTGTGACGACCCAAGTTTAGCATTGCACCGTCCGGAGCAATCTGCTGGCGGCTTGTCCCCCTTGAAGTTTACAATAAATTGGTGGAGGGAACTTAAGCGCTTTGAGTGCATGTCAACAGCAACGGACGATATGAAAAAGCCGGTAATGTGGCACTACCGGATTTTTTTATATCTTCATGCCACGACTTTGTTTCATTGCATTCCTTGAAGAATAATAACACCACTTGTATGCTCAAAAAGTAACTTCTTGCAGCTGAAAAATTCTGTGCTATAGAAATGTGGAATTCGCTCCCTCCCCCCATTAAAACATTGTCTTCTCTTCCTACATTTAAAGAAACACTTGAAGCTGATTTCTTGAGCCAGTAGCCAGTTTTAGTGATAGCATGTACTGTGTTCCTGTAGCGCTTTTTTTTTCCTGTTTAATTCTATAAGAATGTTACCTTAATAGCATTGTTACTATTCATAGTGGCTTTTACTGCATGTTTTCATTGCCAGGATGAACTTGTATTCTTTATGCCAGTGTTTTACAAATAAAAAAAAAAAACTGTTCTATGTACTCTTATCACAGTATTCCTTTTGCATACCCTTTGCACCCACATTTTTTTACTTACAATCTTTTTATATTTTTGTGCACTACTGTATTTACTCGCATAATTTACGCACTTTTTTTCACGATTCTGGGGCTCAGAGAAAGGGGTGTGCAAATTATGCAGGGATTTCGCCAACGCATACGAAATGCTGTAAATAATGTGCAATAGTTCTAATGTGCCAAGTATATAAATTGAAGAAATAAAATAAATTGTAGCACAGATGAAGTGTACTTGTTAATTTAATAGCACTAGTACATATTTTGACCAGTCGGACCCGGTCCATCCGCGGTCCAGTCGGAATCGCTGATCCAGAGGTCAGATTGAGAATCATCGTTGCGGCCAGCTGCCACCGCCCTTCCAGAGCGCATCGTCCTCGGTTCCATCGAGCTCTTTCGAGTGCCTCATTTTCTTCAAGCTCTTTTGACAATGCTAGAAGAAACTAGGTCCCACGACACATCTATACCGGAGGACCTAAGCATTCACACATAACTGAAAAGTTCTTCCAACAGCAGGAAACTTGCTTCAGCAAGCCCACACACTCCTTCTTTTGGACCAATTGCGCGTGTGACTATCGGCGTGAAGTTAACATCTCCAGCGTCACGAAAACTAGCTTCACGCTGAAGTGCTTGGTGGTGACACGATTCCAGTTTTCTTCATCATTATGATCATCATCATCATCATCATTTATTTACCCTTAAAGGCCCCTGTTGGGGCATCACATAAAGAAGGAGTATACAAAAGAGAAAAGGAACATTCAAACAGCCATTATTAAAGCAAAAAAGAAATAAAATTTACAAAGAAATAATCAAAATGCTCATGAAAGATAATGCGCTCAAGAAAAAAACACAAATACACAAAAATCTCAATCCGTTACGCATCAGCACTCAATTTGTTAGTACGTTTCGAAACTTGACGAGGTCCCGCACATTCACAACACGGTAACGTAACTTCACAAACTTCAGCAAGCTTGAATTCCGCCTTATATATTATTACTGTAGCCGATCGCAACAGAACAGTAAAAATGCAAAGGACGAATGGCAAAACTTAAACTGCCGAAATTAACCAAGCATGCATTGCAGCGCGGACACAGAACGAGGGAAACCGTTGGCGCGACAAGCCCAACAGGCCCTCGCACACCTCCGGTGCCGAAAGTTGTCCGTGCCATGATGCGAGCGTGCATTCACACGGTAATAGAGATGGAGAGATAGAAGGGGACAAAGGCTCGAGCAGTTCCGGCAACCCATCAACAGGTTTTAGATGTTTGTGCACAATATTCTAGGGACCCTAGTTCAGGGGAAGTATTCGGAAGAAGTGACTTTGTTTGACTGCGCTCGTCCGGCGCACCCGTCCAAGGAATCCAAAGGTCTACCATCTCCGCGTGTGGGCACCGACGAGCTGGCTCTGCCAGGTCTGGGAGTGCGAAGTATGCAAATATATATTTTTTTTCATGAAGATGACAGAGTACAGTCGAGCCCACAAATAACGTCCCCACTTAAAACGAACTTTTGCTTAAAACGAAGAATATCCGCCTGACCGTGAAATATACATTAGTTCAATGGCACAAAATCACACTTACAACGAACGTCTCCGAGCGCAGCTGATCGGTTACAACGAACGGAGTCGGCGGTCTGCAGACTTCCCGGGAAACAGATTTCGACCACCGATCGGGCATCAGCGAGATGCCCATACATTCTTATTGTTAAACGCCGACCATATCTCCGCGATCCTCTAGTTGCCGCTCTCCCCGACCCATGGAGGAAGGAAAGCTGTTTCCTTCCTCCTTGCCCCGACAGCTTTTTTTTTTCCGCACCCCTCCGTTCTTTTTCCCCCCCGCTACTCTGAGCACCCCGCATCGCCAGACGAGGCCCGTGTCTTCACACTGTCTCCAATCTTTGGAAGACCGGTCGGCCATCTACCCTGTTTTCGATCGCTGGTACTGTCGTTGGCATCGCCAGAATGGAGTGACCAGACCATTTACCAACATCGTTAGCCACCGACTGTATTCGATAGTCTTTGTCTAGTGCACGCGCTTATGCTACCCCACCGACGATAAATTGACATTCGTTTCGTGTTTAGGACTTGTTCTCGCTTACTTCACACTCGGCGCAGCATGCCTTCCGCGAGCTTGTGGAAGCGCGAAAACGGCTGTTAATTTGCGCGGAACAAATCGCGAACATCGAAGTTTGTGAGGCCACGCAAACCCGCCAGTG